TTTTTAAACAGTAAAACGCGTGAAGCTTTCAAAACCGATCACTCATTTGGAATCTACAATATAAGAGCAATTTCAGGTCTTATCGTCATTATCCTGCTGATGGTCGAAACGATGATCGTCGGAGCGAAACGCTGATTTACCGAATACACACATCCTTTTTATTTTTACACGCCATGCAATAAAGACAAACAACCTCCCGCTTCTATTCATCAGGTAAATTGAAAGCATCAGCATGAACTTGAAAATGTAATTACTTGCTATCTGGTATCGTGGTATTCGGTTTGAAAATATAAAGAGTAAAAATTTCTGTAGTTCTAGTGCACTCTATCTTGAATCGCCAGGGCATTTTTAGTTTATTTAGTCTTGTTTACCTTCATCGGTTTGCAGTAAAAAAGTTATTTTTTATCTTTGTGGATTGTATTGATTTACTGGTTTTTGTTTCAGTACTTTCTTATGTAACTATCTTGCTTTAGGAACATAAAGTTGACGCAAAAATGTCCTTGAAGAAGCGAAAAAGCGGTACGTAGAATGAGAAATGTCAACTTTTTTCGATAAATTAATTGATAAATACCTCACCAAGATTGAATGGATACTGCCCCTTGAATATCCCTTTCTTGGTCTTCTAATCTTTTCTTGTTATTCCCAACATAATTCTTTTCATGCTGCGTTGGGTAGCCTGCAGGCTATAGGTTTTAGGTTAAGGATCCAGTTTTGCACATGATCCATTGGGAACACACACGTATGCACATATTTTTCTTTCAAGTACATGAACAACTTCACACATAGGAACATATTCAGTTTGCAAAAGTGCCCCATGCCAAGTTTATTCTGCTGTTGATTTCGCATGATGGTTCATCTGTGGAAAAAGATAGCTGTCCCAAATTGACGTAGTTTTGCGCTTCTTCAAGCCTAAGTTTGTTGACTTCAACAGGTCGCGCGTCCATGAGTTCGTTAAACGACCTGAGTCATCTTCGATCCTGCTTTGATGCTCTTTGATTCTTGTTTGGAGTTGTTCTGATGGCTTTGAGAGGATCAAAATGTCGTCCGCTAACCGCAGGTGTCTTGAGTATTCCCATTGATCTTCATGCCCTGGTTTTCTCAGTCGAGTGGGTTTGAAACCTCTCTTGGGACTGCTTTGAATAACTTCGATTATATTGCATCACTATGCAGATGCCCTTTTCGATTTTGAACTTTCTAGTACGTTCTTGAATCTTCACAATAGTAGTTGCGTTTTTTTATATCATGGCGATCAGATTTATTTATCTTTTCGATTCCCCAGCTCCTCCAGTACCGAACAGACGTGGACTTAGTCGAAGACCTTCACGAAGTCGACGAACTCCAAGCAGAGGTGTACCTGATATTTGTTACTTGTCTGAATTACTTGTTGTTCCAGCAGAAGATGATGCATCGTACTTACTCCACTCCTGCTTGCTCCTTTGACTAGACAGCATCCAGATTTTCTTGAAGTCTGTCAGTACTTTCGTGGAGATCTCATAGATGATTGGCAACAAACTGATTTGCATATAACTCTTCAGATCCTGTTTGCTTTTTTTGTGAAGTAGTATTACCGATGCGGCGGTAAAATCTTCTGGATTTTCAGTTTCTTATAACAGCTTGAAAACAAGCACACTAATATCTTGGCCACTGCATCACCTCCTGATTCCATGCCTTTCACAGTAAGAAATATGCTGAAAGAAAATAGCGTTGAATATGCCTTAAGTGTTCAGTTAGTGAGACGTTTACTGCCTATGTTTCCTTGCAGTAAAGCTTTTGGTTTTATTTACTGGCAAACTATATTTCATATTCTATATCCAGTGCTTCAGTGAAGGCCTGTTTTCACATTTGCGACAAAATTCTGGCTTCTCTGACTCTACCAATTGCTTGAACTATTTATGCCATCGCTCTGTATCTGTTGTTACCGGCCATTTGTTGCTTCTATGAACCAAATCTTCAGTACAACTACGGTCTGTTCTTTTCGCAGCTTATTTTGTTGCCATTTACATTGCCATCAACTGATTCGCTATTGTGATGAAATTACTGATCCGTTTGTGCACTTATGCATTATTTTGACTTACTATTTCTTCTTATTGTTCCCAACTTTCACGTTTCCATTCTTCGTTTCGCGGTTTGTAGTTCTTGAGCGAATTTCACGCTTGACTCAAACATTTGCATTCATATTTCAACACTGGAAGGATGTCCTTCTGTTTCAAACTTAAAAGCAGTTCGCTTGAAAAACAAAACGTCATCAATTTTCCAGAAACTCCATTTTCACACTTCTTTGCTGTTCTTCTACTTTTGCCGCCGCTTCGGGCTAAGAAAAATAAGAATACAATGAAATTGTTCAGCGGAGCACTGAACTACAGAACTGAAATGTAACCAGTCTAGAATTTCCCCAAATATGCTCTAGTCTACTAATCTTCGTATTATCGAATATTGAGCTAGTTTTCATACAGTCTCACCAGTTATAGGCACCTTTAATGTTATCATCATGCAAGATGCCACAGTTCTTTGGTGCAGCGGTCCTGTTGATCACGCGCAACTGTTCTTAAAGTTGTTTCGTAATGAAGCATGGGTAATCCTACGTTCAACGCAGTTTTAGAATAGTTCCTGGTTTGTCATCATTTTCTATATCTTCCGTCACTGTCGCAATGTGAATGATGTTTTTGTCTTCATTTTCATATATCACCTATCGCTATTCGCTTTGGCTTACTGGCAGATGTCGTCATCGTCGGTTCAGACGCAAGGCAGTGTGAAAAAGCGATTTCTGCACAGTAAAACGTTAGTCATATTTAAATGTTGACAAAATAGGCACGCATCATGACCTGTATAAGATGTTTTGTTATATGTAATTTTATGAAAATTATACGTTCGTAATTTTAAATTTTTACTCTTAGTTATTTTCAATTTTAGAATTTTGTCCAGAATCATGCAGCCCCGGTATCAAAAGGCATTGCGAATCTAGAAAGTACCAGACTTCTCATCATTCACCGGTCAGTTTCGAAAATACACCAGAGAATACATCAGTTGCAGCTGACAACGACGAGAACGGTGTTACTTTACGTGCTAAAATGTTCAGTGCCACGTTATGCGGAACGACAGGCGATGTCTTAGCAAATCTCGTTGAGGCCCTCGAACGAATGGATATTGGATCTCCTGTTTATGTGCTTAACGATACATTTTTGGAACGTTTTTTGCCGTGTACTTCATCTGCAGACGTTAGTGCGCATTTGACAGAACAGGATGAAAGCTTTCGTGAATGCTGTAGTACTTCTGCATTGTCTACGACAAGCGCTAGCAGCCAGAGCATCGTGGTGAATGTATCTCGTGGCCAGAACAATTACAGTTCTGAACAAGAAATGTCATCTCTCCGCAATGCCACTGAAGCTTTTCTAGAGGACGATGACGATGACGACGTCGTCATACTTAAGGTTATCCTTCCACCGAAGAAGAGAAAGAAGAAAATGAACGTTGCAGTTAAGAAGTCGAATCATCTGAAGACAGAATCACTTTCGTTCACTCCTTCTTCTGCTGTTTCAGATATTTCTCGATCTCCAAAACATTCCCCGACGAAAACTTCTGAGAATAATACTTCAGATGCTTTGGTCAGTGGTTTCTCAATCACAAAAATAATGAGTGAATCCCCCACAAAAGGTCATGCTAAAGACATTACCGGTATGTCGTTTGATTTTTAAATTTCATAGTACTAACTCATTCGGTTAAGCATATGCCTCGTAGTCAGAAGTTTGTGAGTTCTAGCCCAGTGGAGTCATTCACTTTTCATAAATAAACCAGTGGTACTATTTTGTGACAAAGAAACAGGAGGCCGTACGCTCTACCCGTCACATAACGGAAGACGTTGACTTTAAAATAGGCCATCCATGTCTGATGCCATAGAAACGGAGATCGGCACCGCACCGTAAGTTTCTTGAAGAGAAAATTGCCGTGAGGACTTCCCGTCATAGAAGTATGAGGAAGGCTAAGATCCCGACTATTACTATTATTATTTTCTTTTTTCTAAACTTCATGCTGTGAATTATAAGTTGAATTTTCTGAACTTGTTGTTCCTTTTTTACAGTTAGCTACTTTCTGGACGAGTATACTCAATATCTGTTGGAAGGCTTGGTTTTTTGACTATGCTGTGTTCAGATGCGGCAGAACCCCCTCATATAATTGTTTTTCACGGATTTGTTCTGGTTATCCCAAAGCAGTTATTCTAACACGCGAACCTGCTGAAGTATGGGTCATTTTAAACGATGTCCTCTAGACTGTTCGTCAGATTGTACCTGTTAAGGTTCTCATGAAGTATTTTTTATTTCCAGGAATTTTTGGTGTTTTTTTCAGATGACTATCACTGACTTGCACAGAGAATAGTTGAAAACATCCTCACATTCCTCGGTTGCTTTGCAGAACAGTCTCAATAGGTGGCGATTTCATATATTTCCATTATATGCATTCTTTAAGATGAGTGAAATCCTGCATAAGTATTAAGAAGGTAGGGATTAATGGGAGTAAAATTTTGAAGGATGTCGATAGACGCGTGTGTGGAGGGGTGACGTATGGTTTTCAGTTTAAATAAAACCATTAACTACAGCAGTCTCCTCAGATATAATGAAGTTTTCGTCTGCAGCTTCCCCAACGGTGGAGAGTTTATGCATTGTTGGTTGGTGTAAGAACTCTGCTGATTTTGATTAGAT